GGCACAACACTGTTATTGTTTAGTTGAAGTGACTAAAAAAATACAAATTTCAATCGAAAGCAAATCATTAGCGCATTGATATAAACAATTAGTGTCTGCACTGCTTCCATCTTCAATTCTAATCTCTTTTTCTCTTGCATTTATCTCGCTTTTCATTAGGTAACATGTAATCCCTCGTACTAATTTCAAATTCATTTTCAAGCGTTTTTATTTTTCCAAGCTTCAAACACGCAGCATATATGCTAGTCATTTTTTTCTTGACTTTTGCATGTTGATTTCACTGAGTTCTATGGATGATAAAAGTTGTTTTGCGACAAAAGCTTTATTTACAGACAGTCTGAACTTCTCTTAAATGTTACACTTTATGATAGGTTGCATCAGAGTCCACACCACTGAATAGCACATTTCATCAAGGGTCCACACAAGCAGGTTCTCTAAAAGCGAAATTGGAAGTGGATTTTTTGAAAATAATCAAAATACCTGATTTAAGATGTTGGTGGCGTTTGTGGTGGAGACGATTGGTCCATTACTTCGTTGGAACTATTGCTGTGTAAACGGTGGTACCCACAAACCCTTTCGGAGTGTTGCATGCAAAGAGGGAAGCACAAAGCGGAGCCGGTACCGGCGCACAACCTTTGACACATATTGTAGGACGAATAAGGACATATATCGCGAACTATTATAGGTGCTGCAGCAGGCGCCATGGGATACACAGGAGGAGGCACATTAGAACCTCTCCCATCAGCAGCAGGTAATACACGGTAACTGGGTGGAAGAGTGGGAGGCATACCAGAGACAGTAGGTAATATTGACGGAGGCGGGGTGGCAGGTAAAGTGACAGCGAGATTTATGGGGTTTTTAGGACTAGTTGGAGGCACACCTGTAACGCTAGATAACACTGGGTACTCAGGAAAGGCGGGAGAATATTTGGTGACAACAGGCATTGCGGGGTTTTTGAAAGGAAGGTCGGAAGGCTTTCTAGCATCGGTTGGTAACCGTAAATTGCTATGTGGTAATGGAACAATGCCAGTGATAGCAGGCGCTAGGGGGTTCCTGGGAGGAAGCAAAGTGGAAGTGACCACGGGAACAACAGGAGCTCTGGCTATGGGTAATATAGACTGCGGAGGAATACACGATTGACCGCAGATGCCATTACAATAGGAAGCACATCCTGGGTGGATCTTATCTTGAT